CTGGAACAAGTGGATCAGATAAGAGCAAATTAAAACTGGGCGGAGTTAAGCAAGTGGAATAACTAATAAACCAGTCATCAGTGCCCAGATCATGACAACAGAATCAGGAAACTGGATGGATCCATCTCTGATGTGTAGAAATGAGACATGTAGAATGAGTAGAAGCAAAGCATTGATCCGCTAAGATGATGAAATATCAGAACTGCTGTCTCCCGCTCACACAATAAGCTGCAGCTTTATCTCCAGACATGAAGGTTAAATTCATGTTAAACATGTTTAAAGAGTTTAGAATGAAGACGAGAGATTTACTTAAAATCCTAAATAAGTGAAATTGACCCAGGAGTAAAATGGAGTTCAGCCTGTTGGTGTGAGACGTGATTTAGATCCGGTCTGCTCAGCGTCAGTCCTGCAGGGCCGCCTTCCTGCAGGGTTCTGGATTCCGAGCCTGACCTGCAGGACTGATCTGTGGAAGAAGCAGAATCTAAGAAAGAAGGGATGTTTTTTTTCAGAGATGCATTCAGGTAAACATTCCCTAAGAACCCAGTCGCTCTGATCTGCTGCACAAACAAAATGACTCGTTTATTCAAAGCTCAGTCTAAGCGGTGGCGACTGAACGGCCATGTAGGACAAGTTCCGGTTCAACCTTTTAGGCCTGTGATGGAGAACAATGCAGCCGTAATTAGAGCTGCACCAGCGAGGCTCCACCAGTGAAACCAATCAGCTCCACATCTCTGCGTTTGTAGATTTTCCTGTGAGTGTTCAGCCTGCCAAGCATAATTACAGGGGTTTATATTCCTAAAGTGAGGGACAGCACCCCTCATGAAGCAATCAGAGCTCAGCAATGAGCTGCTTTCCTTTCATTTACATAATTATGATGTGCAGCAGCAGTGGGAGGCCAGATTAGGACCACGTTACTGTTTATTCTGCTGTTTAACATTAAAGCTCCGGCAGGAAAAGCAGCAAAGCTGCCGAGGCTGAAGCTCAGATGGACCAGGAGCTGCTGTGTGACTCAGTCTTTGGTTTCTGTCGCCTCCTTGTTGTTTCTGATGCTAACAAACATACAGTAAGGTGCTCCTCTGAGCCCCCAGCGTTAATTAAACAAAGTGCTGTAAATAGTGTCAGCAGGGCGTCAGGAGCTGTTTCAGGTGTTAGCGTTAGCGTAAGGAGCCCCTTGGAGCGCTGCCTTCGCTGCCTTCGCTGCCTTCGCTGCCTTCGCTGCCTTTTCCAGGGAAACTGACTGTGAGATGTTTGTGGTGCCAACGCTGAAGCATCAGCAGGTTCATTCAAAGTGGTTTTCCTGATAGTCTTTGATTGAAGTCTCATTGGAGGGAGACTGATGAAATTATTAAACGATGATCAGATTAATGTTCTTGAGGAGAAAAGGAGGAAAAGATTGAAAGGTGTAGAAAGGACTCCTTGGTGTTTTGTTTTCCATGCATGGACCCTTTGAACTGGGAACACTGGTATCCATTCAGTTCCCACTGGTGCTAAAAATCTGCTTCTGATTTGAATATGAAAGATTTTCCTTAAAGGAAGGCTGATCTCCATGAATGTGTCTGACTGGCAGCTGCAGCATCAATCCTTTGGAAGAAGGTGATCAGGTGGAGGAGAGACGAGGCTGCAGACCACCAGTCAGACCAGCAACATGTTGCTGAGCTTCAGGCCCAATCCTCCTGATGACTGAATCTTATCTATGGATGATCATGTGCAGGTCTTCATAAACATGAATGTTTCTGAGATGTTTGAGGACCAAACCCATCAGATGAGACAGAAGAACCGGAGTTAAACTGCAGAATCTTCTCCAATAAAACTCGTTTATGTTTCTGGACAAAGTTTCTCTTCTTCATCAAATCTGCTTCAGGATGAAGGTTGGAGCTGAATGTGGGCCAAACATGGAAGGTCAGAGATGAGGAGAGACGTTCATCTCCTCCTCTTATATCTGGTAACTCCTCCACCTCTGAGAGCATTTAGTCTCCTGATCCGCACCGCTGCCAGTGATGATGACGGCGCAGAGTCTGGTTCCTGGAACTAATTACCTCAGGAGGACTCATTATGTGCCGACAGCTCAGCTTTCTACCGACCTGCGAGCTGTGACCTGCAGTCGGCCCTCATGTGGACGTGATCCTCTGATGGTGTTAATCACTGATCACTGTGATGAAATCACCAGCAGCCAGAAACACTAAATAAGGCAATGAAAATAATGCAGCAGCATCATCAGAGTGAATCTGTAATCTGATTTCATTAGGAACTGCTGCTGTGATTAATGTCTGCCAGCTAATCATGTCTTAAAATGCTGTGTGGATCTATGTGCAAACATCTATGTGTAGGTGCCTGATTATGCATGTGTGGGTCTTGCTTTGTTTCCCTGCAGGGAGCAATTTCCTGGGGAAACGCTTCAGTGTGGGGGGATATAGGGAGACCAGCAACTGATCCCCAGGAGAGAAGTTCTCCTCTCCTCCGGATAATATAGTAGTGATGATATACTATATATACTATATATACTATATATACTATATATACTATATATACTACAGAGAGCAGGATGAGGGTGAGCGTCTGAGACTTTACCTGCTC